CTTGCGTGGACCATGCGCGGTTCGCGGGGCAGGAAGTTCACTGAAGAGAACACACTTTGGCAACCGGTAATCTTCCATTCTTGTCACTTGTCCAAGCCAGCGCAAACGCCGTTCCCATACAATGTGACCTATGTTCTCAGGCACACCAAGGGTCTTTGCAAGGGCACACACACACACACACACACAAACATGAACACACCAGCACACAAGACTATACACGAGCATACACGAGCGCGCACATACACACAAGCGCTGACACACGCAAGCACACACACACAAGAAAACACACACACAAGAACACACACACACAAGAACACACATACACACACACACAAATGCACACACCCACATGCACACTCAAGCACACACACACACACGAGCGCGCACACACACACACACGAGCACACACACACACGCATACACACACGAGCACACACACGCATATACACACACGAACACACACGCACACACACACACACACACACACACACATACACGAGCACACACACACTAGCGCACACACACTCACACATTTTTACACAAAATTACTTCCACGTTGTGTGTTGTGTAAAAATGAATGATAAAAGGATAAGACGCTAGTGCAAGACAGTCCAGGACTGTCAACAACACCACCAGGGGGCAACTAACCACGTGTTTTTACAGTGCACCACGTGGACCGTGTAGAATGTACTTCATTGCTGGTAAGATTTGTTCTCAAGACTAATACGTCTTGTGATCTGTCCATGATTTGATCTGTCAGAAGAGCTGTTGTCATGTCAGCTGTTGATAATTATTTTGATCTGTCATGAGAGCTGTTGATGATTTGAAGTATTGCAGCGGCAGGCAGTATGAGAATACGCATCATCACTGATCAGCTACAGTCATGCAGTGAGGACAGTAGCACTGTCTCCCATACTGACATGTATGCACTAGACTAGCAGAATGACAGAGAAATTCTCTATCATTACACAGGTCACCGGCATTGCTAAACTATTCACTTGCATCTGTGTACAGTAGGTTAGTGTGTGTAGTCATCTACTGATCTGTTAAACTCTCAATCCTACAACTGACAGTGGAAACATCTTGACAGGACACGCTCATCCTCGCCTGCGTCATTGTGCACATTTCACCACACACAGTAGGTTAATGCTGGCCATACATACCGTCATACTAATGTAGGGAATGTCAGTCATTAAAAAGAACTTCCATAATTATCTTGTGTGTCTCAGCATTTGCAACAACCCTCGTTTTACCTTTTCTGAATCGCGTCCATACTGTTCTGAAAAGTCCTTATCAGCACATTGCACAAAGACAATAACATGAGTTGCTGATAGTTTTGCTGTTGCTACTCTTCCATATCACTCCACTTATCTTTATCACCATGGTTGGCTAACACCCACTCTCCTCACATTCTCCTCTCTTTCCACTGAGCCTAGAGATGACGTAGTAATATTATACAAGTAAGTGAGAGAGCACTGTTCCACACGACCATCCAGTCACCTCTACTTACTAGTATTATAGCTGGCACAAGGCACTCTGGTCGGTCGGGTTAGCAGATATTTACGTAATGAGATCACGTGATGAGATGGTGATCTGCTACGAAGCTATGCATAAGCTTTAAACTACCTCAGCGGCAAGTTTTACTGCATCCCATGGAGCGCCTTTGCAAACTCTGGCTGACACTCAACGGTTGCGAGTCATAGCGATACGTTTTCAAGTGAATGATCAAAAGTGTCTGTCATCAGGACCATTATAAAGAATGAAAATGAAATGTGAAATTAGAGACTATACGACTACATGACTATACTCAATCTGCGGACAGCATGCTGTTTCGTTCTTTGTGAACTCATCAGCGCAGCACAGAGGAAACGAGGCCGAACCTGATAGCAATGGAAATAAAAATTTCCAATCAGGCCCGAACGTACCTTGCCAGAGTGCTCAAACTGACAAGTCAGTGAGCTCTGCGTAATGCAAACTGCAAAGGCACTACCCCACATGAGAGTGCTCAACTACTACAAGAGCAGGAGCGAAAACATGACTATATATAGGGGAAGTTCTCTGCTGGTGTGATTTACACAAACAGAAATAACCTACAGTTACAAAATTCACACCTCACCCCAGAACATTGGTAGGATGTGCGAGAATTGTCTGCTACTCAAGACAATGTGACAAAAGTGGAAATATCACAGAAGTACTGTAACAATAACGTATGCTGATTGTGTCACTACAAGAGTGTTATCTTTTTTTTAGGTTATGTTTGTTTGGTAGTTGTCCCCAGCAGTACAAATCTAGTAGGATTTACGAATACATTTTCAACACCTGTCTGCCTCAGTAACAAGTATGCGTATGGATGTGAAAGCTGAGACTACCATTGGTAACGGGTCATTTGCGTGTTGAAGATGATACTGTTCACCCAGTACTTTTCCTGCCACCTCGTTGAGACTGACATTGATACATAGCTGATTGCTACATCAGATAGTGGTAGCTG